CATTCGAAAGCACAAAATGTCGATCAGAATTGTTATGGAAAGAAGAAACCTCAATGTCTTGATCGTTGAAGAAGTGATAATGCAGTTGATGACCCCAATCATTTGTTTATATCCGGGGTCATTACACTGTCCAGACATCACGCGATGCAAGGGCATGTGGTTTGAAAAACTTAATCAGTTGCTATTGTTTTACACGGGACGTTACTTGTAGTGTGAGATTTGATATTGTTTCTATAACGATCACGGTCAATTTAACACAATGCACACTTTTTAGGTCGGGCAGACCGGATTACTAGACAGCGGATGTGGTGCAACTGGTCGGATGGTCGATGTATTCAGTGTGAATATTGGACTTGGGACCGATCAATGCGGTCGGTATTTGAAGTAGACAGTGGTCGGATTTCACAGGTTGTTTAAACATAGGCGTCTATGGAGAAATTTCAGGACTACATAAATCGGTCGGTTCTGACAGTAGGTCGGTTTACCCAGGGGTCGGTTTTGACAGGTTTTACTGTAATAGAGATGCAACTCTGACGTTTGTTTTGTCTTGAGTATTTTCATTTGTCGGCGTCTGTAAACAACGCTCAGTGACAACGAGCCAAACCATGGAATGCTGGTAATGTAATGAAAGCTACGCTCAGTTTAACATGAAATTGGTACAAGTTCACATATTCACATGAGAGGACATTTGTTAAAACAAAGCATAGACCTTAGAAAGGTCTATGAACAAAGCAACCATGTTTAATTAAATATTCATGCAGTTTTACCCCTATGACCCCTAAAGAAGGACGCATCAAAAAGTAGTATTCCTGAATTCATAGTTAACTGTTAAGAGCGTCCCAGCTTTCTGAAGATTGAAGTTGAGCGTACACTCCTTTGCAAAATTGGGCATGGAGCCAAACAATGGAATGCTTGAGATAGTTTACTTGTAAATTAAAGTCTTGCGGCATAATTAACACCTCGCCGAGGTGTGACCACCTTATTGTTTATTGTGTAATCGGCGGTGTTTTACGTTACAGATAGATGAATGGAGATGTCTGTTTCTTTCACAAGTATGGGTGGGATGAGAAGCATTATGTATATTACTAAATCTGTTTCCATGTCCGTTAGATAAATACGGCCAAGTAAATATCGAGTTTTCATTAAAATATCAGCGTACAAGTGACTGTGCATAGCTCCGATGTTTTGCCACTTGTCAAAGTATCGGCTTATTTGTTAATCACAGTGGGTGACGGCTGTGTTTTAAATTCAGACAAAGATCATTACGGTAATAGACAAAATGCCAGTGTCTGTTTTTAATTCCAGCCGAGGTCACGAACCCAGGATTACGTTTGGTGATTGACACTGTGACGCAATGTCCAACATTGAAAGCCAATGACTACCCCGTCATCCCCACCCCAGACCCTGTTGAAGGAAATGAACCGTTTCACGGTACCTTTTCAACAAATAAATTGATAATTGCCGTCACTATTTTGCTGCAGTTTTAGGAAGTGTTAATAAATAGTGTTGTTATTGCACGTTATATATTTGACTGATGAAAATGGAAATACATGTCATCAAAAGTAAAATCGAGAAGGGGTGCAATTA